TGACATGTATATCGAGCTTGAACTGAACTGATAATTTTCCTTATTACTAACATACCTACCTAACAAGGAAAGTTTTACAAATAAATTCATATTTAAGAATAGACAAACAGCATATTTTAGGCTGATTTTAGTATCACGCTGACAAAATTTTCAGGTCCGTGATGGCGGCAATGAAAAACGTGTTTACACTTGTGCACTGCTGTGTCCGCTACCCGGAAAATTCGTGAGCCTGCGGAGTAGGCTTGGAAAAAATAATCGATTTATGAAAGAACTATATTTATATGGCCGATATTGTTAATTTTCGATATACTGATAATCGATATTTATTGTGGATTATAAAATGCGATATTCTATATGATGATTTAATATAGTTGGTAAATATCTTTATGCTTTGACAAACTCGATATAGTTCTAATTTGATCATCGCATGTTTCTAGTATCGATATTTTGCTAGATTTTAGATTCGTATTAAAGGTATCGATAACTTAAGGTAAGACAAATAGGTGTTATTACGCTTAGCCGTCTAAACAACTGACCCATCTTAATGGAAATTAATATAGAAATAGACTAAACTTAAAAAGGACATAGTCTACATTTATCACGAAAAATAGGTGGAAATAGGAGATGAAAGTTTGCATGGAAATTTGTCATTATCAAATTTTGATTTTAGACAACTGATAAGATAAGTATAAACAAATATTTGATAACAGATGTATTCTTAAAGAAAAAGAATTCTGCTCAAAGAAACTATGCCATACTGATAGTAGTAAAAAAAAATACTTTCGTCCTGCCCCAATTTATTATGTTTATGTAAAATGAGGTTTATGTAAAATTAATATAATAAGAACCGAAACACGGGCGATCATGACGGAGTATCGTGTGACGTCACATTTCAATAATTTAAAAATCTTTGTTGTACTCGTCTTTGAAATGCGACGTCACAACTCAGGCTTACCTTATGGATAACTAATGAGGATGGGCCATGATATTTCACGCTAGTCCAATGCGATTTGGAGAGCATTAACAACTGCACATGCAGCCGGGACTGACGGCGTGATCAACGGAGTGTTCATAGGTACCTACTTTATAGCGTGATTTTTTTCACTTATTGAAGGTTTCACTTATTAAACTCATTTTTAGAATTTCGTACTTTGAAATGAAAAAAACGGAACCCTTATGGGATCTCTTTGTTGTCCGTCCGTCCGTCTGTCAAAACCTTTTTTTTCTCAGGAATGCGTAGATGTATCAAGTTGAAATTTATATCAAATATTCAGATCTACTGCCCCTTATCATGGGTCTGTGAAAAAATCAAACTCCAACGCTAACGCAAGCGAAAGATATAGCCGTATATGCCGCTAATTTCCGCAAATCTTTGAAACTTGCAAGAAAATTATAACCTACAGGGCACTTCCCGTGAACTGAAATTTGGTACGAAGCAATGTCCTATAGCAAAGATATAGAAAAAATTGCGAAATCCGTAAGTATTTAGTTGCATCATATAATAAAAATATTTTTAATAATTTTATAGTTATTACCCCTTTCCTCACGAACGCGTAGACGTATTAAATTGAAATTCATATCAAATACTCAGGTCATATAATTCCTTTAAGCTGTAATAAATTAAATCCTATGTCACCGCAATCCAAAGAAACAGCAATTTAAGCCGCATATTTTCAAACTTGCAACCACTCGTAAGGGAATCAAAACCTAAAATACTTCCAGTCGACCTAGAATCTTGAAATTTGGCATGAAGCAATGTTTTTACATCACATATAAAGGAAAAATTCTGAAAACCTAAAATTTTTTATTACATCACAATATACCTACAAGTTTGCAAGGAACCCTCGGTGCGCGAGTCAGGTTCGCACTTGGCAGGTTATTCACAATTACCTTACACTAATTCAACAACAACCAAAGATCACTCTCCGAGGCATAAGAAGGAAGCACTAAAATATATAATATGTCAATTATAAAGTTTTGCGGCTGACAAAACACAACGCATCTTTCGTCAAATATGCATTGATTTACGATGTTATTTATTTTTCATTTATTAAGTTGTTGGAAGAGTTACAGCTACACAATGAAAAATTTATAAAACTATAATAAAAACAAAAAGCCAATTAAAAGTCCCCCATCATACTACTTCAAATATGCATTACAACCTATATACTGATTACGCACGCAGGCACACTAAGTCCGCGGCTATGATAAAATCAGTAGTTAAATATTGCATGGCACTCACAAATTGTTGAAGAACATACTGCTTAAAATACGCCTAGCCGAAACCTCGCTAATGTCGAAGAGATCCAAATTTGCCCGCCTTGATAGGTCATTGAAGTTGTTAAGAGCTCGCCAGAGATAGTAGAAACGAGAGGGATATATAAAAGCGAATTTCTTAGATATAAAAGAAAAACGGACCAAGCCAAATGCAATTAAGACATTATGATGCTTACAATAGCAGACTGCAATGCTGGTAACCCTGTGAAAACGGCGGCAAGAAAATATAACCTTCCACATGCAACTGTTTATAGGCACTGGAGAAAAGGTACTTCAATTGCCCAGCTTGGACGTTTTCGTAAAGTTATGGATTAACACGTACAGATTTTAAGGTACTAACTAGTTAACAACTACGCAATAACAATCTTACATATCCAGTAAGCTGGGACAAAATTAAAAGGCGGGTGATGACTGGATAGCAGGATTTATGAGCAGAAATTCGCAAATCACTTTAAGAGTACCAGAAGCCCATTGCTCGAGTTCAAGGCTTCGACCGCCCGCAAGTGGAAAGATTCTATGAATTGCTAAAAACGTAGATACGTTTTCAGATGAAAAACATGGTATTGATGGTACCAGAATATATAAGGTCGACGAAACTGGTATTCAAACTTCTACCAATAAACCACCCAAAGTTCTTTCAGTCAAAGGTAAAAAGCAAGTTGGTGTCATTTCGAGCACAGAACGTGGACAGACTATTGTATGTTGCTGCAACGCTGCCGGTTCTTTCATTCCGCCATTTATGATATTTGTGTGTAAGAGGTATATAAGATCGCCTGTTGGATGGATCTCCTCCAGAAACTCGAGGCACTTGTTCACCTTCAGGGTAGATAAATGGAGAAATATTTTTGGAATGGTTAAAGTTTTTTGTTGGCCACGTTCTGCCTACTGAAAAGAAAAGAGCTCTCCTACTTTTAGACAATCATTAATGCCATAAATATTACTTGGCTCTAGAATACGCAAGTCAAAATAATGTTATCATCTTGTCATTGCCACCTCACACCTCGAACTAGCTTCAACCATTGGACATTGCTGTGTAGGGAGCGTTAAAAATATACTTCGAACAAGAAATCAATCGCTTCCAGAAGGCTCATCCAGGAAGGATTATTAATCAATATGATGTATCTCGATTATTTACTCCAGCATATTTAAAAAATGCTACTGCCAATAATGCCACAAAAAGGTTTCGATCTCCAGGAATTTGGCAATAAATGTGGATATATGGGAAGATAAAGAATATGCACCATCCTCTACAACGATCATGATTCTAGTGACGAAGAGGTCGAACCTGCTGGACCTATTTGTGTAACAGTTCAAGTTCATACCTCAACAATGAGAGAAACGAATGATTCGGCGTTGGAATCTGTATTTTGTCTCGGATCAGTGAGCCTGGGGGAATAGTGCCATATGCTGTACCCAAACACGATGCAGTTGCGTTATTTCATTGCTAAATAACTAGTTCCTAAGACAACCTTCCAGCTCGATCATGACCAGACCTTAGTCTAGAAAGCATCCAGTACCAAAGTCCTCATAAAGACGGATGTGACGAGCCCAAACACGATGCAATTGCGTCATTTCATCACTAAGTTCCTACAACCATCTACCGACTTCATCATGCTTACTGACACCATAATATTGCATTGTCATCTAACTTAAATGTCTATGCAAAACTTAAAATCGATCGAACATTGGGAAGTAGATCAAAGAGATATGCGCACTAACTAACATACTAACCAGGCAAGTTAAATAAAAGCTTTTAATAAAAAGACTTGGCATATTTTATTATCCATTTTCATCATTTTTCAAAATCAAAAGAAAAGAGAGGTGCTGCCTTTTTCTTTTCATATCTACAACATAAAGCTGATTTTAAATAGAAGCTTACTTATCAATAATGTAAATAGAATTCAGAATTAGGGCTACTGGACGTTTTCCCCAAAATGACAGAGTGCAGACACGTAACTATAATGGTTCTAGCGAATGGGAATTCGGTAAAATATCCCGTCAGATTAGTCAGCTTCTTTACGAAGTGCTGACAGACTCCGGCGAAACGTGACGTCGCCATATAGACCAAATGCTGCCGGCACTTCTAGTGCGGTGAAGTCAATTTCGATCGAGGATTGATATATACCTTTTTACTACGTACCATCGACAAAACAAAGTGCCTTCCAGACCACTAAAGATACATCCAGTGACCACCGTACTGTAAGTCGTACAGAAGATCATACACTCGACTCTAACGTTTTAGATAAATAATACATAAGTATTTGACATTGGTAGCTACATATATACGATATGAGATTAAGGAAGCTTTTTGGTTTATTTGCGCCATTAATCTCCATAACGCATAATTATAATAATCTATTTATTTTAATACATACTTACTGAAAATTCTTTCTGTTATAAATAATATCTGAACCTTTAGGCATTAATACTGATGTAACGTCAACTAATAAATACGTTGTTGATTAGTCACACGAGGAAGAATGTGGGTGATTGATTGGAAAGCTATTATTATTTGTTATTAATTTTATATAATAAATATTAATAATGATGATAATAAAATATGTTGTCTTTATATTATTCCTTTCTGCCTTTGAAAATTTCCGAAACTCTCCTTGTGTTACTACAATAAAATTCCTATATGTAAATAAGTGATAAAAAAGTCAATTTTATAGGCATAAAGCCGAGCCCAGCATGTGTAATGTCTGTCAAAGTCTCACCACAAGTTGAATGGATCAGATTTGTAATAATAACTAAATTCACGCTTAAATATTTCTAGCAAAATATCACGGAATCTAGTAGAAAAATAAAAACCATATATATCAGTAACAAATCATTTATTTTATTTATATTAATATCCATAATATATTACAAAGTCGAGTAATATTTAACTGAATGGTTTATAACTATACTATAAAACTGTTAATAAATTTTCTTTCCAAGAGAGAATTAATGAAATGAAATGTAATATTCAAACAAGCTAATTAAAGCACTTTGGAATCTTTCAACACGCTTTGAAATGGAACTACATTTGTCTACCTACATTATATTCGTAATTTTAAAATGTATTAAGAAAATTCTCTCGAAACATTTATTGGGAAAACCAACACTAATTTTAATTTGACCTAAATTTGTTTTATTAGCATACAATATAATGCATGTGTATTTATAATTAGGTATTTTTGTCTAGTACTCAGTGCAGTGCAGTGAAAAATTTATTTAGAAATTAAGTGAGTCTTATGAGACGATCAAATATTTTATGCGAGAAATGTGACTCAAACGCGAAATTTTATAAAAAGTATTAAGAAAACCCACAAACCAATTTTTTTATTATACAGAATTCAACAATTTCCAAAATCAATTCTGAGCTCTAATCTCAATGCGCTTAGGGTTATAATCATTGTAACAATTTTACACTTTTAAAGTTGTTAGCACATCGATCCGTACCTAAGGAAGCGAACGAAACTGTACACCTTGCGTGTAATTGCCAGGTGATATTGGAATGATGAATGGCATGTAAAAGCCAATAATTAAGAAATTGAATTTAATGTAAATACATAACTGTGTGGTCAATAAACTTTTTCTTTCTTTATTTAAACTGAATGGCGCTAGTTATCTTGGGAGTTGATAGCTGTCATCTGGTCATCACCATAGCATGCATAATTTGTCTGATTTTAACATTTAATTATCGAATATCTTTCTACAAACCATTCGAATACTTAAATATTTCAAATACTAACACCTTTCTGTGTATTAATCCCAAATAGACTTACAAAATTCCATGTGTAAAGAAATCTTATATACATGATTGCCAAATCCTGTGGCAACTTTAACCCTTCAAAAATAACACAGTTTACAGTTTCATAGTCAATATAAAAAATTAAATAAATCAATAAAAATAATATTATAAATATGGCCATATTATGTGACAGTGTAAATGATTTACAATAATACCATATCTAATTTAAAACATCTTTTTTTTTATTGTAACAGGGCAGATATACAAAACTTGTTACATTTATTTGTATTTCTTACATCTACTAGTAAGAAATTTTGTATACCTGTCCTGGTCGCAGCCTTCGGCTTCCTATCTTTGACGATCATATACGCTTAAAAATATTTCTAACATCACAAAAGTATCGTTTCAAATAGAAATGAAAAAGTCAACTAATACAGGTTTATTTCCAACTAGCGGCCAACCCCAGCTTCGCAAGGATATTTTCTATATACTTATCTCTTAACGTTTGTGAAAATATCCTATCGTCTATGTTAATAATGATTCTAATGATAAAATAATTAGTCGAATCGGTCCAGTCCATTCGGAGCTTATTCAATGAAAATACAAATAAATCTTTCTTCATTATAATATTAGTATAGAAGCGCTTGCATCCTTTCAGAATCATAAACGATAACTCGTAGATCAAACACGATATTAACCATAACTCGATACTTTGAACAAATAAAACTTTATATGATTTTATTATACAGTCATGACTCTTAGACGTCAATATTTTTATTTATAAACAAATACCAATGCTACGGTTACGTACTGCTTAAAGTACTTGTTTTTATTACGCGTAGTATTAACATTCGAACAGTTTAAAATTAAATTAGATTTTTGTATAAATGAATGACCGAAAGTCTTTGCTTATGAATAGTCATAGATCGCTGATGTTTTGAAAATAGCCCTGTATATACTTGTCGTAATCATTGACATATTAGTAGTCGGTTTTATACACAACAAAAAAGTGTTTGGAATATGAAAAATCTGAAATAATATCACGGATTTTAAAAATATATATATATTTTGAATTAAAAAGAAAGATATATATAACTGTCTTCGTCACACACAGTGATTTAATCTACATCTGTTGCGTAGAGTTTCCATTCCAGGTGTTATTATCGTCATCAGCCGCTCTATCGCCTGGTAGTCTGTGGATGTTGCCTCTACGGCGGATGCTGGGTGGGGGGGATGACTGCCTCGGTGGTGGGGATGAAGGACTTTCGGTAGGCGGATTGCCGAATAAGCGCGTGCGAAGCCAATCGTAAACAAGTTGCGACGGTTGCAGCACGAATGATGTGAAGATTTGTGTTAATAACGCTGAAAGTTTTTAAACATTTTATAATACATATTTATTCTATTATTGTTAGAATTTTATGATACAGTAGTACAATATGAAATAACAATAGTAAAAAATAAAACGAAGTGCATAATTTTTTGTATTGGTTTCTTGATCACTCCGAAAGCCGAACTACGCGGAACGTAGGAACATATACCTATTTCATTCACACGTATACTGACATCCTGTGTTATTTCGTTCGCACACGCATACACATGACAGGTTGCATTGTTTGCGATCCATATTATTTAAGCGCTCTACATTACGCGTTACATTCTATACGGTTATTAAAATAACATACCATGACCTTCAATGAACTATGATGGATGATTCTTGGTGATCGCAGATAAAGCGAGTCATTCAAACATCAAAGTTATGTGGTTTAAGACAGTGAATTCAGCTTTTCTTTAAACCGTTATGGAAAATAGATAGTTATTGTATCATTGAATCGAGAGTGATCAACAAATCACCTGTTGAATAATTATCGCGATTATCAACCATCGCTACTGAACCATTCCCCTTAACCCAGAACTCTTTGAATGAAAGAAAAAACAACATAATATCTACACAAATAAAAAAATATGTTTTCAACTTACGTAATTTGATGAATTTGCCTAACAAAATTAAATAATACACTAGCAAAATTCGCTACGCGAGTTTCATGTAATTGTAAATGATTGTAGGTCATCAAAGCTGACAAATATATTTCTGTACATAGAATTCCCTTTATGCTGCTTATAGGGGAATACAATTAATTACCTACTAAACGTTGAATTTAAACAACCGTCTACCGAACGGTTGTAATAAGACTTTTTTGTCGTTTAATTTCTTTAAAAATTTCACCGACGCGTATGTAAAGCCAACGGCACTCGGGCTCGCATTAGTTTGAAACGGTTTAAGAAATTGTGTCTGTGAGCGTTGTCTATGTGTGCGTTGCTCGAGCGCACTTTATAAGTAGATTTTTTTCTGTTATATATATTTAATGGTTTTGAATTTAAATAGAAAATATTGTGGTATTAATAGATGTCTCAATAACATTTCGTACTTATCATAACATGCGTTTTTTTCTGTATTTTATTAAAAATCACATATTTGCTACAGAAATTATATTTTCTGTCTATTATTTAATTATTGCTATTGTGAGCGTAGAAATAGTTAAAAGTATTAAAACATTACAATTTTATTAACAATGCCACATTTTAACTAATATTTTACAACCGTTATATTTTAAAACACCAAACAGATCACACAATGTTTGCGAAGAAAATTTTACAATATTTCTTTTCAACAAATAATCAATAACCTGTATTATATATCCCTGCTGTAGTCTTGGTACTATGGTCTTTGCATCTCTTACGATTTAACTACCTATAAGCGACAGCCCTACGTGTTAAAGCTATTATCGTTTACTCGGGGCTCGAGTCGGCGTACTATTCTTCTTTTACTATGCTAGAATACCATTTACTCACCGACGAGTGATGCGAACGCGCCGGGTGCGGCGACCTGTGCCGGTTGCCGCCGCGGCAATATCAGTAGAGCGGCAGACGGCGCCAGTTCGAGTCTACGGAGAGTTTCATCGGTCTCTACCAATTCTCGCCGAGGGAACGCGGTCCATATGGAAAACGAAGATGTCGGCAGCTGCAAATAATCAAACAAAAATATATACCTTAATCCTATTAATAATATAAACGTGAAAGTTTCTTTGTTTGGATATTGTCCGTCAATCACGCCGAAACTACTGAACGGATTTTGATGAAATTTGGTATACATATTAGCCGGCTTATATAATAGGATACTTTTTATCCCACTAAACATTTTCCTAGTGTCCACGCGGGCGAAGCCGCTAGCGAAAGTTAGCTAGCGCTAGCGCTAGCTAGTAAATAATAAATGTTACTTATCTAGAATTTATGTACTCTTACTCTACACCTCTGTTTTTCATAACTACTATTCATTCTTCTCCATCCAAAGGTAGAAATCGCTGTTAGCGATAAGACCGCCAATTGCTACACTGTCGTGTTATATTTAATTTGTAAATTTAATGTTAAAAACTTTAACTGTAACCGTAAAAAATGGTATGACAATAAAGTATTATTATTATTATACCAAGTCGAAAAGACATGCTTAAAACACACTATCCCATCATTGGGTTTTTCATATATTTTTCGGAGGCCGGGTGTGGAGCAGTCCCTGCAGATAATACAAATAAGTGATTTTAACATGGAGTTGCTCACTCTTTATGGTGATTACGACTTTAAGTTGCCAGTTGAGTGAGCGAATAGGCCTGCTGATCACAATTGTAAACTAACCAAACGGCTGCTTACTGTGTTCTATACAAGATCGAAAAATAAATGATTTGCGGAAAAAAGATCGACCAGGCCTAACTAAACCGACTTACTAGGCTTATTATTAAAATTTATAATGAGCCTTGTTTCGACAAGTGTAAGGTGTAAAATATAAAGCATTGGGTTTTGGCCTCTCATCACACTATACGTGTCAGTAATTAATGGGGGGTGAAAGACGCGGGAAGTTGTCTTGAGGTCTCTCCACTTGAATGGTGGAGAAGGACATCGCTGAATTTAAGTGGGTATGCTACTACTATTTTACTACCCCCATTCTGGGGAGAACCCCGCGCTAGGGGGAAACGGATATGCGTAACGCATTTCCCAGTTAAAAAAGGTGGGTCAGTAATTATATCATGCCGATTGACTGACATTTGACGCACACATAAAAATTACCCTTCTATGAACTCAACAAGTCAGATTATACAAATCTGTCGAATTACTTCATTTAATTTGAAGTGTTAGAGTCGATATTCGATAATTCGACATATTATAATGTCCATTTGTGCTGTACTCTGCAACCTTCCAGTAATTTTGTTTAAATATTACTAATCTTTTCATGAAAACCCAACACGAGAACATCGTGGAGTGTCTGCGTCATTCATAATACATTTATATTACATATATACATTTTCAATTACAATATAGACTTCCTAGAAAACTCAAACGTGAGACAATAAACCTCCACTGTCAATTTACCCTCAATAATAATAATAATCAATAAAAATAAAAAAAAGGTGGAGCTGTCAGATATCGCTTGATCGTCGCAAAATATATGCCTTAGAAAAACTCTCGAATAAAATAACGCGAGTGTAAACGTCTCTATAACCAGCGAAAAGTGCGTCAAAGATATTGCGCTGTGAATAAAATAAAAGGAGTGACATTCCACTGTATTGTTTCAGCTATCGAAGATTCATCAAATGTATCCATGTCCATAAAATCCTACCATTATTCCCAAATTATCTGTCTTGATTTGCTTGAGGTGGCCAATAGGTTTAACCTATGCTTTTTTAGTTTTATGATAAGGCAGTTTGGGTATAACTGCATTATTGCTTCATTTACCTGTAAGTTGTCCGCTATATATCGTTGTATATCGGCGAGTGTACCGTCAGCATCGAAATGTGCTGTGTGAGATGTTCCGTCTGGTAGCTTGAACTGAACCCGGGCCCTCGAGCCGCCATCACCTGATGCTAAAAAAGTTCCAGACGCAACTTTTAGATCGAGAGCTCGTGACAAAAATATTTTTCCAACGGTTGATATCTCAATACAATGCCCGGCAGGAAGATAAACCCAGCCAGTAAACGAAAATAGGTATTGAAGGAGGTGAAGTGTGCAGCGGGAGAAACTTAACCATAACAACAGGGTTTTTCATTCCGCGCTTGACCTCTCCCTACAATTTCACTGCCCGCCATTTGCAAACGCACTATGTCATTGATAAGTACACTCAAGAAGTAAAGTTATTTATTACTGTACTGAATTTTGTCGTTGTAATTAATTATTTTCGTTTTTTTACGGGTTTTTAAATCACACTCAAATGTAATATTTGATTATATAACATACATAAAACATTTGTTACCTATCTACTATGATAAACACTCCTATTTTTATTAATATTGTAGTGATTTGTAATATATGTTAATATTGTTAATCCGTAAACGCCGTTGTGCTAATAATGGGTGCTATGTTTTAACAAAAAAGAAAATTATTTGTTTTCAAATTTTCATCTTATTAAATTTAACCCCAACTATACCTGCGCAGTGGACGCCATAATAAGTTTACTTTCGTGCTTGGCACTGTATGTGTGTGTGTATACCTACTCTAGTTGCAGAGCTATTGTCTTTACTTAGGGATTTCTCACCGACCATTTTAAAGTGCAAAACTCATTCTTATTCTTAAGCATTCTTCATGAAGGGTTCAGTACCAACTGACCAAAAAAGTATCTATCTTTCTGTTAAATCCATAATTTAGTTATTTATTTATTTAGGTTTGCCAACATTTGTTTACAATATTCCTTACTCAATTATTTACTAATTTCACCATTATTATCTAATTGTCACAAATTCTTAAAGGCAAACACAACACGCACCAATATGCACAACTACGACTTAAAAAAAAAAAAATCAAAAATCATCAAAGTTTACCCCATTGTGTTTGAGTTTGAATAATGTAGTATAAATGCTTTAGAGGCCATTCCACTTATCTAAGATCTTTTTACGAATCCTGATGGAATAGAAGATTAATGTATAAGAATAGAGAAAAACTGCATGTTTTTAAGTTATATTAATGACCCCATGTAAATTAATTGATGTTTTAAAAGACAAATACAATATAAATTGGGTGCCAATAAACAGCTTTACAAAATTAACTTCAATTATATTCCCCATTATAATAATTAAATCAGGGTTCACTGATAAATATCAATGGATATATAGTTAATTAGAGTATTGAGTCTCAGCTAGAAAATTAACCAACCCAATGTGATGCTGGCAACATTGGCCCAAAGTTGCAATCTTATTTACTAGAAATAACGAAATTTTGGCAGATCAAATATTAAATAAAGTTACTAACACCTTAAAAATTCTTTAAAACTCTTTATGTGCACGATATATATCAAATATTGGATATTTTGATATTTATTATAAATATAAGATTTTCACAGACTGTAATAAATAAACTCACTGGTAACTGGCGTGGATTGAGCGACCTGAGCGACGGTCGCTTGTTGATCTCTGGCTTGTCGCTCGGCGCGGTCCTGAGCGATCTGTTCTAATATACGTTGACGCGCCAAGTTGTTCTCTAATTTTTCACGTTTGCGTTCCTCCTAAAGCAATAAACTTTTTGTTATTTGAGAATTCCCATAGCATAGGGGTTAGCGCATTCAATTACATTTAATTGTGTGTATATTGATATAAAAAATGGATCTGACCTGTATCTGTTTCAGTTCTTGTTCAGCTTGCCATCTCTTCAACTCAGCTACACCTTGTCCTTGTGATCTTCGCTCGATTTCCTTCTGTTTTTCAAGCTACAACAAAAATAAATATTACACTACATACTATGTCTATGACTATGGCTTATTGGTATCATTATAACCATACTATTAATGTCCTCACTGCTGGGGCTTAGGTCTTCCTAATGGATGGAATCTAATCAGATCGAATAGGGAGAACAGGCAAGGAGCAATCACGCGAGACCAGCGCGGGTTGGTGGTTGTTAACGACTGCAGATGCAGCCAGGATCAACGGCTTAACGTGCCTTTCAAAGAATAGAACAGGTCAAGATAATAATTTTTGGTCATCCATCATATGACTGGCCCTTGAAAACGTTGCTTAACAACAATATCCCAGACCTAATGCGCTCATCACTGCTGCGCCGACAATTCAGTTACCACACTACAACTTACCTCTTTCTCTTTCTCCGCTTTCTCCCTTCTTCTCGCTTCGATCAGCTCTTTGGCTTTCTCTAATTTCTCTTCCATACTGACTGTATCTTCTGAGAGCGCCGCTGAAGGTGTTTCTGTCTGCTAAAAATATTAACGTTTCTCCAACAGAGATTAATCTTTAAAGACTTTTTCACTAAGCCATGACCATGGTGAAAATAAATCTGGCATGGACCAAAAGATACAGCTATATTTGAGTCTATATTTGATGAATAATCTTTTAACTTTATGAAATTATTAATAAAATACGATTATTTATCTGATTGCTATTTGATCCCCTATTCCTACTGCATTGCTCCCCTAACGCCTAAATATTATTAAGGCAGCATTGTCTTAATGAACAAATGGTGATTTTTTTGTATACTTGCAGCTAATTTTACTAGGTAGGCCAGCCTTAAGCCTGTCTTTTTCAGGACGGGTGCGGGGCGGAGAGCCCTATATTAAGGCTAAAAGTTGCATTTCTCTTAAGTTAAAAAAAAGGCTGGTCATTTGTAGGGAGTTTTCTTCCAAACTACTGATCTAATTTTAAAAATTCTTTCACCCACGGGATAATCGTGTCAAGAACTATGTTAAAAAAAAAAACAGTTATAGGAACTCACTGGCGTAGAAGCTTCAACTTCTATTCTTTGACTGGGTCCAGCCTCGTCAGGTTTGGTCAGTCTTGGTTTACGCACGCACACATCACCATCGCACACCACGTCGTACTCCTGACCAGACTTGGTCACCTCGTGGTGTTCAGTCTTCTGAATCTTCGCTGCCGGCCCAGAAGATTCTGTGAACGATCGCATCTTGTAATACTTGCCAAATTGGACGTCATTCATTTATTATGTTCGAACAATATTTTACCAGTTCTGAACCCCTTGAAGAAAAAGTAATAATATGGCGTTTAGATATCTAAACAGAATTAATATATTTTTTTTAGTCCTCAATAGAAAATATAATTCATATATTCCAATAAAAAATATTATTATTATAAAAATATTATTATTATATTATTAAAATAATATTATTATCCTATTTTTTGCGAAATAAATTACGGCGATACATTAAAATGTCACATAATGGCACACCTTTGTATATGTTCTACATACATGTGACGTAACGAGCCCCCACTCCTCAACTATCTAAGCCATTTCTTGGTAAATTTAAAGCAAAAAAGAAAAATACATATTACCATATTATCTGACTAACGGACTTCTTTCATTTACCTAGTCATAATCCCTATTCTTCAATTTGTCGTAAGGGTCGCATAGAAGACATGTGAAAAGAATATTTGTCATTGGTCTATAAGAATGAGGAACACTACACGATTGCGCCACATTCTTGTCGGTTTTTTAGTAAACGATAAAACGGGCTGTATCTCATAAACCGTGATAGCTAAACAGTTGAAACTTTTACAGCAGATGTATTTCTGTTGCCATTCTAACATCGAATACTAAGAAACATAATAAAATTTTTAAAAAATGCCGTTTTTACGATACTGAACCTTTCGTACGCGCCGCGTACAGACCCCTGTATCGCACGTAGGTTTTTTCTTTACCTGGTTCCTGTTTAGCTGGCGTCTGTTCTACTAGGGCGGTTGCCACAGTAGCTTCGGAGCGCAGTAGGCCTTCTGTCTGTTCCTTTATATTCTGCGTAGAAGTAGATGGCTGTACGGAGGGAGCAGAGCTGACCAAACTGGGCGACTGATTGGGCTGTTTTTCTTTGCCTAATATATTGAATATAATATTAAACAATATCACATACATTGTTTGACAGATAGAATTAATGTATACTGTTTAAATCAAACCCTTGGCTTTCAAGCATAATTTTAGTCACAAAAGACATCTACGAAGTTTTATCACAAAATATTTAAAAAATATATTGGAATAGTACTTTATAATATTCAATATAAATAATTTTGAAGTTTACAATATCCAATATTTCTGAAACTACTATAATGAATTTGTAGCATGAATCTTATGTAGACTTTCACACTGTCTTCTCTCCACTTAATTCAAAATCAGTTGTGAAAATTTTACATATTGAGGTCGTCTGACGTGCGGCCGTGTGTATAAAGACAGATTCCATCACAGATTCATCAAATGATAAATACTTTTACGATTATTATCCAATTTAGGCTTACGGTGTTCCTGTAATATCCTGTCGATTCTAGTTGCAAGGTTACCAGCCTGGATTCCAGCACATACCACTTCGAGAGGTGTACCATTCCTACCTATAAAGAATAACGATGGAACCGGCACAAACTGGTCTGATTACAGAGTCAAAGATAGAATAGTTGTTTCAAAGTAAACACTTCCAAAATATGATTTATAAGAAATGTACAAGTGCATGTTCCTGCAGGGAAAAGATATAAGATGTATATCAATACTTTGACTACCTATTCTTTTTTGCCTCTACTGTCCAAAGAGACTCTTCTAATATCTATATAAAATTATGGATAATAATGGGTAATCACATTAATACATTAAAATGGCTGTATTGCAACCACTGCCACAAGTAAATTGTTCCAAGTGTCTATATTGATAGTTTTCAAATTTTGCTGATTCGAATATTAACATCAATAAAAGTGTTAATTAAAGCCTTTCAATTTTATGAACCAAATTTACGATTTTTGTTAATTTATTTATAAACAAAACTAATATTAATAAATCTAACTTTTATTATATTGTACTCATCTTTGTAAATTTTCAATAAGTAACATTATGAAAAGGATACAAATCTGGGCAAAATGTGTATAATTAGTAGATCCGCTCTTGAGTTTCACAGCTAAGAAGTTGTTTTCATCAGAAAGCCTTTTTACTACATCTGTGTCGTCTATTGTTGCCGCCATTTCGGTAGACAGATCATTATCACCTACAACAAACATAAAAAATTTAACTTTTTTAACTTTGTACATATAAATGCACTCATTTTACAGAATTTACAGTACTGAAAAATCATTTGTCATTAAATTTCTACTTAATATGATGTATATAAACATTAAACATAATTTATTTTTAATATTTTTAAAAACTCTGTGACTCAATTGTAGCTTACTGTGCTACCTCGTCAATAGTCAACTGGCACAGCACAGTATAGACTTCTTCATTCACCATATCCTTTCACATCATCTTTCAAATGCATCTGTGATCTATATTGAAGACTTCAGTATGTTTTTCACTTGAGATGTTTACACCAAGATTTCTCTTTATGGGAAAATATAGATGACACATTTCTGTCTTACTTGTTTTGTTATTTTTAAACTTTACTTTGATCACAAAGCTACTTCTTGGTTATGCAGTGTATTAGTCTTAATCCACATTATAAAAAGACAAAACAATTACATGAATTAACGCAATATCACAACATAACAGTGTTACCCATGTCAATTAGTCACAATCTATTTGGAAAAAAAAATGCTTAAAATTTACTGCCTTTAAATGAATATGAGAAAAATTATCATACGTAATGAATAAGGCAATACCATTAGGTTAACGAATGAACTGTAACCTTGTAGTTTTGCAGGTATGATGTAACACAAATATTAGTACCTACTATAATAAATATAACATGTTTTAATGCTTTATGGTTAAATTTATACAATGATAGTAGTGTAAACTTAAAAATTGTCTTTCACCTTCGACGAAGACGACGAATATTGCATTCCGCTGTTTCGATAAATTTACTGCTTCAGCGATGCTCCCGCCGTACCAATGCATTGTGGTTACGTTAAACTAAGAGTTTTCCAGTGCAGTGATAAACTTTTCTTTGCAGTTTTATGATTTTTTTATCACTTTTAGTCCTTTGATGAAGAGTAATATTACGATGACATGACACAACAAATTTTGACAGCTGACGTGTGTTTTTGTTTTTATCCGTCAAATTATTTCAAAATTCGTTCAAAATCAGCGAATAGATATTTAAATTTAGTAGTTAAAATGTATTATTGCTATATTATGATTAAAAAATCATTGAAAGTGGTAAATATTTTAATATTTGATAATGTAAAATTTAGTAACATTCCAGGACAGATACTTTAGCATAAAAATTAACATATATTCTTTTTAATAAATTTAATGTTTTCGAACGTATATTAATATATCATTGTCTATGTTACATTATACATATGACCTTGCCATATTCTACTGCTCCATAGATGGCTCTGTGTCACATTTCATGGAAACTAATCTGTCTATTGAACAATAGATGGCGCTAGTCATTTTCATTCTAATAGAAAAATAAGTAAATTTTAATCGTAAATATCCCCTTTAAACCCCATTTAACTGCATACAGCATGTTCTAGCTATGTAGCCGCTTTAGACATATATAATAATAGACGTCGTCATTATAACCAATCTTATCAAGTGGTATTGTTGGGATTGTCTTTTAAAGTATATACCTATCTATTTAAAAGTGGCGAAAATACATTTTTTTGTATTTATATTTCATATTTCTAAGGTCCTCTGGGCTAAAATTTAACTATATTCAATTTCATATGCTTTTTTTATACATAACTAGCTGTTTGGTTTGAGAAACCTACAAAAAATCAATTCGTCTTTGGGTAAAAATGAAAATGGGTCTTTACCCATTTGCCTTTGCGCAAATGTGTGTAATTCGAAAATTTCTTGCCCCAGGTACTCTGATATGGAACTCGAACTCACGAACTTTCGCAATCCGGACAACTGCTCTAACCACTGAGCTACCCAGGACCTAATAGGGTTGACGATTTTTTCATTATGTCTAGTATTTATGTACACATATTTAAATTACCAATTGTTGTTTCTAAATCACATGTAATTTAGTAATTTGATTAATCAATTCATTATTGCTAACTGAGAAGCTCGATGGCACAGTGATTAGAGCATTCAGTCTGCGATGAAGTAATCCAGAAGTTAAATAACTTTCGCAAGAACTGGATGAGCGACTAAAGATTTACTATCTCGAACTCTACTATGCTTCGGAAGGTACGTTAAGCCAATGGTCCCGGCTGCATCTGCAGTCATTTACACCCACCAATCGGCACTGGGTCTGCGTGGTTAGTTATTAGCGCCGAAGCTGTAAATTTTTCTGGATAAATGATCTAATATTCACCAAAATGGTACCTACTCTTTACATAGGCGATCTCCACACACATTTAGCCTAGGCTCCCTAGGACTTGCCTAATTAATGTGCATTCGAGCCTCTCCATAGAAAAGACCTGTGCATAGTATTTATAAACTGATAATGATGGTGACAATAAAATTTTCAAAAAAGAAATTTCAAATGTTTAATTTATTTTTATTCTTTTTATCAGCTTATAAGTGTTATAAATTCTCTAAATGATTATTTGTGTAGTTATTAAGAGCAGCTTATCCCTCTAAAGTATACACACGTGCAAAAACAGACGATTGCTTCCTTCATATAATTTATTTTTAAACTGCAATTAACCAATTTGTTTAAACACACAACGAGTGGCAACACCACGCTCCGCTTGCGATGCTTTATGGCTGACAACATTTTACCGTCTTTGAATTTGGAACTGAAAATTGCACGCTGAAATATCAATGGCGCGAGAAATGCATTCGCGCCTCCAGTTCTAAATATGGCGGCTTGACATGTGCGAGACATGGTTGGATTGCGTTTTCTATCTTTATTTGTTTGCCTTAGCAACTTTTTGATAATGTGACATAGAGTGTAATCCACACGGTAGTAAAGTAATGTTTTAGCAGAGGTGACCTTGTCTGTTTGCCAACCGTCACCGACAATGTCTACGCCGTATTTATGAATTACTATTCCGAACACAATTCGCATTTGAAAACAAGTTGAAAACCAATTCCAACCTCTAATGGAACGCTGGTTTACTATCATGGTTCAACATTAAATAGGGTATTTTATAAATTTTGAAAAATAGTTTTATTTAAATTACTGTATTTATGAATAAAAAAGTTAAACTTACCGTTGATTTTCGAAACCCTGCGAAAAACGCTGTGTGTCATACGCCGCTATTACGCCGCGTATGACGTCAGATGCTAGTTTTCGTCTTTCGTCGCAGATAAAATGTCAATAAATATTAAATTTATATTGTCTTAAGACTGCAATTTATAATATATTTTTAAAGGTGTTATATACCCTATTCTAAAAAGATGATAGAGAGGTTATTTCGTGCTGAAGGTAACTCTGAAGTTCAAAGATAGCATGGCGCGTAATCAAAACTAGTGTTTTGGAAACTTTATTACCAATTCACGGTTGAACGGATGCCGTTTTTTAATATATGACAAAATTACAAAATACATATAATTTACAATCCATACCTTCGAATAACATAATTTTATTTAATATATCGATTATTTCATATAATAAATGGAAAATATAATTTTAAAACATATAATTTTGAAAGAAATACCGTTCAGATATTTTTTTTTTATATAAAAATTATTTTACGTAAAACTTATGTGTTATAGTCTTTTAAACATATAACACTCATTTAATATAAACTCATTTAGTATAAAAATCAATATACTGTAATAATTAACTCTCTAAAAGTCACATGATCTTAAATCAAATCTTATATGTTATTTAAAATAATGAACATTTATAATAGTACTGAACGGTACCTATAAAACGCGTAAGAGTTAATTTCATCTTAAAAAATAAAATCATCCAAAAATCAACAGTTGTCCTTTGCCTTACAATGTTAAACAAACAACTTCCGTAAAATCATAGGTAAAAACCTCGTACTGCGCGAAAATATGATTAATAATATTTTTTGGTGATGTGAGTAATGGGTAATCTCAAAAAAATATATTTCTAAATAGAATTTGATTTACCTTAGAAAGCGATATTTTTAATGTATTTTCTTAATTTGAAATCACAATTTGACTAAATATATTGATACTAATTATTTATTTTTTATTAAAAAAAAATACAGAATTTGTTTAATAGTTTTACTTCTTTTTCTCCAAAGGAATGTACAATAGAAGTTGGGTTAATAAATAACTCACAAATAGCGCTCGCCGGCCGCTACCACGGCACGCTCGCTTTTTGTTGTTGTCACAGTTGTAATCTAACTGAATGAGGAGTTCCTGTAGTGAACAAAGAATGTGGAGATTGAATTAACTTACCTAATCTAACTAACCTAACCTTATCTGAGCAAGTTCAATCTATCTTAAAAAGTGAATATGATAATATTGTGTTATGGTGGAATATATTATTCTTGCCATATTAGTGATTGTAATAAATTATGATAAAACATAACTTATATAAAATAATGGTTATATCAATCAATTGATATATTTACTGAATGTCATATCAAGTATTCGTTATATTAATTGTAAGTTATAACAACTGAACTTTATGAGAAAAGCATTATATTATTTGATTTATAATACAGCGTGTTTGGTAATACCTGTATAATCCCGAATATGGCACATACGGTATGATGAATAGAACCTAGAAAAATGATCACTAAGTCTGAAACCCAGCACATGACCTAGATATTTAGCTTTTTTTCTTCTCTAATAATACAGTCAAAATAAAAAAGAAATTACAAATACTTTGATTGAAGTTAGATATCTGCACTATTGCTCACATTAGTCTATGCAAGAAGGAGCGACATAGACATAAAATCGACGACGATGTGTATTGAGAAACTCGGGTTGCTGATGTGTCAGTAAGGTTCTGTAGATTAATTGCTTTGAAGTTTTGTTATTTTTTTCATAAAGCAGTGTTATTTTCACGAAACAATAAAATACGGACTTATACAATGATATTAATAATCTAAATATCTCGCTTATTCTTAGTTTAAATGATAATTAAATAAAGGTTAGTTGTAATGGAAAGGTCTAATAATAAATAATATTTCTTTTCTTTTCTAATTTAATCAATAATTTTTATGCCTTATAATTGTGTTAATGACTTGGTCTTAAATTAGGTAACCACTTTTAATATTATGGCCTTTTTTTCTTTTGTAACCGTGAAAAGCGTAAATAAAATTGTAATAATAAGTAAACAGCCTAATTATCAATTTCGTCAGTAAAAAAAATAGTATAATAAGTTTCATTGAAATTTCATTGTTTAATTAAATAATAAAATAACGATTTTTTGTTAGGTAGGTTACCTAACACAGAATTTGATGACGCGGAACCCTAAATCGGTGTACTTTTGATTTAGGTACCTACATTGGTGTTCGAGTTGTAATAATTACCTATGTAGTTTTGGTCATCGCTTCAGTTGCGTCGGAGACTTTTATTGGTGTACTTGTGAGTTTTCAGAATTTAGAAGGTCAACTTACGTCTTCGTTCTTTCGGGACTTTTGGTTTGTTTTTCATACTCATTCTGTTTACTTGTGTGTTGTGTTTGTGTGCGGTCAGTGCAATGAGTTCGTACTCAAATGCCTAATATTACGAGATGATATTGTGTGTTGGTGCTTGTGACGGTAATCTTGCTGCGGCTCGGCGGCTTTATGACGAGCGCCACGTGTCAGGAAGATCTGAAAACCCTCGACGTCTTCCTTCTTAACAGTGCTTCGCGGCACTTGTAAATCGGTTACATACAACTGGTTCATTCCATAGTGTGATACAGGAAGGCCGGCCGAACACCTATTCCGTCGAGAGAGGATATGATTTTACGTCGAGAGTAACACGGTCTGTGTCGAATCGAATGGAGATGTGTGTTTTATGCGGTGGCCGGCATATCGAGACCTTGGACTGATAAAGTGGAGGTGAAGTGTAGGTAATGTTGACAAGTGAGAGCTGAGAGAGTGATTAGAACGCTGCCTCTAGGTATGTACCTGTTTAATCTTAAATTGTTTTAATTACAAGTAAACTCATACGCAGTCAAGTGCGCGCGTCGGCGAAATCAAA